AGGTGCAAAAATTGTCAAAAAAAAATTACTTTAAATAGATTAAACTCAAGTTTTAAGTCATATAACATAATAAATGTAATAAATTTTTTATTTTATTTTTCAGTAGGAATTAATGCATCAGAGATTTCGATTTTGTCTGATATCCCGTCTCATCAGGTGTACAAATTTCTAACTGAAATTCAACGATTGATTTACTACCATGAAGGAACAAATCGAAAAATGATTGGTGGGGTTGGTCTTCATGTGGAAATAGACGAATCACAAGTGGGTAAAAGAAAAAATAATGTTGGTCGTTTAAGAAATCACAAAATAATTTTTGGGGGCATATGCAGAGAGAACAAGGATATTTTTATGGAAATTGTAGATGATAAATCAAGGGATACATTAGGAAGAGAGATTATTTCTAATATACAGCCTGGTACAACAGTTTTGACAGATCAATGGTCGTCTTATATGTCATTCTTCTCCAACCAAGACATTTATTGTCATAATTTTGTGAATCACTCAACAAATTTTGTTGACCCCATAGATGGTACACATACTCAAACAATAGAATCCCTCTGGAGTGCATTCAAAAAATTTAAAAGAAAACATGGATACTCAAGACAAAATTTACTACACCTTTATATAAGTGAATTTAAAATGAGAAGAAGATTTAAAGACCAAACTGAAAGTTCCTTAAGAATATTTAAATATTTATTAAATATTATTTAAATTTCCCGTTTGTTATATATATTTTTTAATTTATATTATATTTTTTATATTTATCTATTTATTTTATTAATTTGTTATTTATTGATTTTTTTTATTCCCTCCAATTTGCCCGCGTACTTTTTTTGTTGGAGCAGCCAATTATTGTTTTAGATTAAAATGTAAAGTCTTTATTTTGTTAAAAAAATAAACTCTTTCATAAAGTTCACCTTTTCCTTTTTTTTAAATTCATCTCTTAAAATTTTTTAATATTTATATTTAATTTAAATAAAATCAGATTTATAAATTATAGAATGTTTGTTATTCAAACTCTACTGTTTAGTAAAAGTTAATTAAACATATTCCTATGGTTCTTTTAAAGTTTTAAACATAGATTTAAAAATATTTAATTTATTTAAATTTGATTTCAACTAAAGCTAACACCTCAATAATCCAATTTGGAATATTTTTTGCATATTTCTTTTGAAAATATTTTATTATAAATTCATTAAAAATATTTTCATTAATGGAATTCCTCACTTCTTTACTTAAGTTATTCATATAATGTAAATTATGAATACTTAAGAGAGAACAAAAATTACCTGTGCCTTTAATAAGAGACAAATATTCTAATGAATAATTTGTACAGGTAAAACAATCACATTCTAACTTCATTGATAAATCAAATGCTTTTAATAAATTAATATCTCCATAATCACTGAACATTTTACCAAATCTTGCAGTACGTGTAGGATAAACACAATCCATCATATCACAACCTAAAGCAAATGAAATTAAGACATCATCAGGATAACCTATTCCCATTACGTAAATAGGAATATTTTTAATTTGTTTAGTGCAATGTAAAATTGTTTTAAACATAAGTGCTTTCTCCTCACCACCACTTAGTCCTCCTATGGCTACTGCTGGTGGATTTAATTTTAATATGTTTTTTATACTTAAATCTCTCAAATCTAAAAAACATCCTCCTTGGACTATTGGCATGAGTAATTGTTTATTCCTAATAAAAATACTTTTGAAGGTGCTAGAATCACATTTTTTTATTTTTTTTATTTTTTCTGATTTTTCTAAATTTTTTACCTCATCATTTGTGAGTTCAAATTCATTAAAACGTTTGATACATCTTTCTAACCAACGTAAGCTGCGCAAAGTAGCTTCTTTCACAACAGAATATTCACTTTGGGGGTTAACAACATCATCCAATTGCATTATAATATCACTTCCTAAACCTATTTGTGTCTTCATGCTATCTTCTGGAGTAAATAAATTAAATTCTCCATCATTATCAAACAATACACCCTCTTCAATCACTTTAGCTCCTTTCAGAGATCCAATTTGGAATCCCCCAGAATCTGTTAAAATATTTCTATCTACTGACATAAACTCCTTTAGATTTCTAAGATTTCTGCAATGATATGCATTACATAAAAAAAGATTAGTTTCTAAGAAATCAAAAGGAACACCCTTCATAGATGCATAGGTTGCAACAGGCATAAATCTTGGTAGATATACTTCGCTGCTTAGTTTTAGTATTGAAGTTCTATTGTATTTATTTTTGGTTATTTCTTTAAATATTGGATTCATTGTTGGTTGTATTAATTATCAAATTTTTTATTTAATTTGATATTTTTAATATTTTTATAAATATAATTTAAATAATTTATCTTTTATTTTTTTATTATATATTTTAATATTTTTTAATTTTATAAATGCAATTATCATTAAATTTATCTTAAATTTATTTTATTTTCTTCAATATTTTGTACAACAGGAATTAATTTATTTAAATTTTTAATAAAAGATTATGAAAAACAAACATTTCTATTTTAAATTTTAATATGCCTTTATTTGCAATATAACAATATTTGTTCTGTTGGTTTAAAACAATATAAGATTAAAAAAGATTATCGAATATTTTTAAAGTCTCCATAAATGTTAGTAAATCAAAGTACTTTAAACAGATTCCAATAAAAAATTAAATGATAAAATAAAGAATATCCCTTTAAACTTAAAATTTTGATTAAGTATATTAAAAATTAGAAACTGGATATTAAATCAAGAATATTGAATTGCATTCCTATCCTAATAAAAATTTCAATTTCATTTTCTCACAAGATTTCTGATGAATTTTCTAAGACGCTAAGATTTAGAGGAGCAAAAATCAATATGAGTCAAAAATTCTGCTGCTGTGTATCTATTTTTATCAAATATTTGGACAAGAACTTTGCAAGAATTGAAAATTATTTTATAAAAAGTAAATTCCCCTTAATTCTTTAAATTTCCTATTATGTGAAAACAAAATAATGCCGAATGGTTTCTATAAATATGTTGATATATAAATCTATAAATAATATCGTACGAAAAGAATATTTTCTTCTTTTCAGACGTATTGTCAAAGAAACTGTGCGTTCTTTTGTAGATTCAATTCCTAGATTATTTTTTAATAAATTCATGGCTATAGTTACTTACCCTTTTTTAAATAGGACACCTGATTTAATTTATATTATATGAAAAATATAAGCAAGGAATTGTTTTAGCTAAAAAAAAATTTCTTATAATGGTCAGCGCCTTGTAAAGGTATTATACTGGGTTTTGGAAGGTACTATTAAATTGATTTCATTCTATCATAATATTTTTTTAAGAATGTTCATAAAGCTATAAAGATTTTATGAAAAATAGTAATTATATAATAAAGTGCTCATAAAAAAGCATATGAAATCATTTTTAACATTAAAATAATAATACTTTAATTATGCATATTAGGTAGAAGTAACTGAGATATGAGGAAATGAAGATAACTGATACTTCAATTTTCGCAAAATAATTAAATATGTCTGGAAAAATTATATTTGGTCATATTCTTTAGAAAAGTATGAATCAAATAAACAATAATCTTTCCGCACTCGACTAAATATATCGATTTATATTTCAAATTACATCAAATTTTATCTAGATAATAAGTTACTTCATTAATCATAAATTTCAAATCAATAAGACATACACTTTTAGCAAGTTGATAAGACAAACCACTTGGGGACGAACTCCAAGATTCAAATTCCATATGTAAATCTTTTTAAGTCTAAGTTACTATGGTATCAAAAAACTTTGATAAAAAACTTAATTCTATCAGGAATTTATTTCAAATAGTATAATTAATTATTAATCCCTTAAAGCCCTTTGAATTCGAATTAACTTTAGGATTTATCCAAAAAGGCAAAAAAATATACTAAATGCAATTATATAACAAGATGGGAAAACCCTTGCGATATAAAACAAGTCCTTTTATTGATACCATGTTTCTTGCGCTCATTGACAAATAGATGATCTTTTAGGAGTTCTGCATTGCTTCGCAATCGTATGCTCCTTAACTACGCCAATTAATATGCTAGCACCAATAAAAATTCAAACGCCAGTTACTTTGTGCTTTTTAAATGTATTATAATCCTTAAATATGATTTTATAAATACCATAATGATAGGATTAAAGGGATGCATGTTCGAAATAGAAAAAATCTATATCTGCGAAAATTATTTGGATTGAACAGGATATTTTTGATTAATCATTTGCTATAATAGATAGTGTCCAAAGGAAGGCCAGTAAAGTTTTTTACCAGTTTCCACAAGACATGATTGTAAATATCTCCAAAACATTATCACTATGTTTCTGAAACAAGGTTCTCTAGCAGTAAAAAAAACTAGGATAGTTTATAATATCCTTGATGTATTTAGTTATAGATATGGTCAAAAAATGCTAATTACTCAGTATTTTTGTTTTTATAGAAAATTGTGTTCATCCCAAAAAATTGAAAGAGTGTGAGGGAACATTAAAGAAAGAGGTTCCATTAACACCAAAAGTAAATACAATTTAAGACTATTTCATAATGTATTTATTTTCAAAAAAATATTGCGACTGTAAAAACGCTTTTCAATTTGTTTAAGCAACAAAAAAATAGTTAAGAGGAGGATTTATTTTGAATGGAAACACATTAGATTTTATTGACTCCATATTGATCTGTAATATATTGATTAGATTATAATTTAACTGACTTTTCATGTATTTATATTAAAATTTACCATTGTAATTTATATCTTGGATTAGGGTCCTCAAAAAGCATTCTTGTCTCTTTTAACGTATTTTTTATTGGTGTCATATATTAAAATAAATGAAGGGCTCAAAAATTCATTTCTTTTAACAAATTTAAATATCAAATTCAATATCGAAAATTGTCGGCTATGTTAAAATCCTTTAAATTACTTTTAATTGTATTAATTGAAAAAATTTTTTTTTATAGTAACGTGGCCGAGTGGTCTAAGGCGACTGACTCAAGATCTGTTCCTCACGGGCGCGGGTTCGAATCCCGCCGTTACTATTTTATGTTTTAAAAACTTACAATTATTTTTTATTTATAGTTCTAATATATCTGATTCATCTGGAATCTTTTCTTTTTGTGTAAAAAAATCTCCTACAAAAAAATTCTTATTTCCTTTTGTTAACATTGTTGATTTTAATATTTCTTTTGTGAAAAGTTTACAAAAATCAACCAAATTCATTTTAAAATTAAGCATAAGTTTATGCAAATGAAACATAAAATTGTCAACACAATAAACTCCTAGTTTATTACTGTAATTAGAGGAAACAGAAGGCTCATCCATTTTAGAGGTTGCCATGTAAAATACATTAGAAGGAATATTTTTTGGAACAAAGGAAAATGCGTGACAGGTGTCAACAATTACTAAAATTTTATTAACTCTTTGAGATAGATTGTTAATACATCTGCTAAAATCATCAGTATAAATTGCTTCTCTGTATTTTATTTTTAAAAATTCTTGGTTTCCATGTCCACACAAATAAATCAATAAATTTGAATTCTTATCACAATCCAAAAGCTTATTGTGGTTTAAATTTATTATGTTAAGTAATGATTGAAGTGTAGCATCCTCATAACAATATTTATCTTTTTTAATCTTCATTTTATCATTCAAATAAATATGATCTTTATCAATGTTTCTCATATCCTCATGAATTTTTTCTCCTGTTAACAAAATGATTTCATCTGAAGTATACTTATTTTTCAACAGTAGATTATATAAAAGTAATATATTTGTATTATGTCTGTAATTAAAGTAATTAGATGAACCGTTGAAAAGTATTGCATAGTTTTTACTTTGTATCAATGAAATAAACAAAAAGAAATATTCCAACATTTTTTAGGATTATTTATTTAAACAATAAATAAATTAATTAATTATTAATGAATAAAATTTCTCAAATGATACATAAATCTTCATTTAAAAATATTTAATTTATATTCCAAATAGACTTACAAAAAGCAAAGATTGTTAGAAAATGGTATAATTATTGAAAATACAATTAATTTTATAAAGATGATTTAGAATTATCTTGAATGTAAAAAATAAAATATAAAAGAAAGTGATTGTACCATATTTAAAATATAGGTGGAATGTACAATAATATACCTGTTCGAATCCTTTTTTAATATAATTTCTTTATTTTAAAGTAAAATAAATATTAATATTTTAATTAAAAACAAAACTATTAATATTTTAATAAATCAAGCAGAGAAACCACAAAATATTATTATTTTATCTTCTCCAAATAAATCCTAATAATTTTTTTTGTAAATTTATATTTGTTCGACATCATAAAGGCATCTCTTTTTACTCCACTCCAAGTTCCTTCAATTGTATTAGTATTCATACCATTTTCGTTGACAAAATTAATGCTATGATTTACCCAATGAAAGACAAAAAATATTTTTTTGAACAAACTGTATCCCTTCCAACCATCTGTTATCACAATTGAACTAGCAAGTACATATTTAAGAATTAAACCATTTAAGGTGGCCGAATCGCGTTTATACAAACATTACAAAAGAATTAGGTTCAGAAGTTTTTCCATCCTCCGAAGACTCATACTCTTTTTACTCTACGACCACGATTATATTT